CGCACTGGTTGAGGTGTATAACAGTAACTTGTCTTTTATTGTTAGGACAACTTTCTTCCTCTTAACACCTCCAGAACGATTGATGCTGCTACCAGACATAGTCTTGGCCAAAAATGTTCAAAGTTACTATGAAAATAAAAAAGTTATTTAAAAAAATATTTCACTAATGGCGCAGCACTGTGTATAACACGAGGGATGGACGCACATGGGTTGACCAGTGTTGGACGGGTCCACTTGGGATAGCGCGTTACGTAGGCCGCCAGGAGGAAAAAAATTCACAATATTTTTGAAGGAAACTTCAGCCTGTGCACAATGCTTTTAGGAAACTTATTTATTTGTTATTACATAATTACTAGTAGTTATTTCATTTGTTTTTGGCTATGATTAATTGTTCTAAAATTATTGGTAATTCCTGTACCCAGGTGGTCCCTCCTGACGCACCCCTCCCACCCTCCCAACACCACCCACCCACCCCACCCCCCTCCTCCACCATGCGTCTAGGGCCACAGACAGGATTAATACGGTATGGCCGTATTTTCATCCGGCCAAACCAGCTTTTATCCGGTTCCTGTGGCCATTTTGGCCGGATATTGTGATAACTTTATCCGATCACGATTTTGTCCGTATAAGGGCGTTTTCCGGATGTTTGAATCCCGGATAATCGCGGGGTTACAGTATTGTGGAAACCCTTACAACGAAAGCACTGAGTAGGACTGGGGACATACACCTCCAATTTATGGAAGAAGCCATTAATCCAAACCCGATCAAAGGGGAGGGAATCAAGAAAAGTAAGGAGGGCAGTGCCAGTATCACACAGGTTGCCACCAATCCGACACATAAATTTCCAATGCCAAAGATTGGAATGTCAGCATCCTGCAGTTGGGTCTTGATGTTGTCGGCAGTAATGTCAACAACATTCCGGACAACGTATCGTGCCAAATGGTCACCCAGAGGCGTACAAAAACGGACCTTGTAACCACAGATATCAGTAACATCCGAAAGCACCAAGTCCCCAGAGGAAGCATGGCCCACTGCAATCAAGTTCCTGCATTTATTCGACATGAAATCATGCACCTTGATCTTAAAGAACTCGGGAACGGCTTGACAAAAAAGACTTCGTGCCCTACTATTTCCAAAAACGCTCTGATCAGAGGGCGTATCGGCATCAAAGGCGATGATGAATGTACAGAGGCCAGGAGAACTTGTCTGACCGGGAGGGAGTGGAAGACGTGGAGACAGAGGTTGTGGGGGGGTCACAGGGCACCGCAGGATGCAGGCAACATTTCACTTTCAATCTATTAGCCTTACTATGATGATTACTGTCCAGAAAAACACCCTCGGGATTCCCTCCAAGACCGGGAGAACGTCGTGACCAGAATGCGTGCCAAGGGACAACAGGTCCTGAAAATCCTCAAAGGGATCAGAAATGTCCACAGGAGAAATGCTGCACGAACCATCATCTGTCGCCTTGGTTTGCCGACCTGGGATCCCATCACAATGGTTATACTCTTTAAATCACTTATGTAGTTCCGTCTTGAGTACTGCTCGGTACTCACTTTCCCCTTCAGAGCAGGAGAGATTGCTGAAATAGAGGGAGTACAGAGAAAATATACGGCATACATAGACGCAATAAAGTATCTAAATTATTGGGATCATCTCAAAGCTCTCCAAATGTACTCGCTAGAAAGAGGATGAGAGAGATATCAAATAATATACACATGGAAAATACTGGAGGGCTAGGTCCTAAATTTACACAGTAAAATATCAACATACTGGAGTGTACGATATGGAAGAAAATGCAGAATAGAACCAGTGAAGAGCAAGGGTGTCATACGCACAATCAGAGAACACTGTACAGTGGTACCTCCCATAACGAATTTAATCCGTTCCATGTTCGTCATGTGAAACGGACGTCATACAAAACGAGTGTCCTCCATGTAACCAGTGTGATGCACTGTGTTTATTGTGAAATTTCCCTAGTGTGCATGACATCAAATGTTCCCAAAAATATAATTTTTCTCTGTAAAATGATAAATTACCGTCCCTGAACATGTCTATGTAAAAATAATTACCAAATTCCACTTACTTTGGCTGTGAGGGCGTGGACAAGGTGCGCTGTGACGTCATCAGGGGCTGGTCGCCCGTGTGTGAAGCTCCCAGACACGGTCGCGCAGGCCATTCAAGCACCGCGTGTTGCCACAAATATATTTTCAAATATTTTTCCTATGCATTTCCAATGCGGTTTTATTTGTTTCTTTTATCGTATATGATGCATATTTGTGACCTTTACAATATGTATACAGTAGAATGTTCATAATTTTCCATGAAACTGTGATACATGTGTCAGTAATGTGTCCACAATAAATGTTTATTGTCACAATATTACGTGGTAAAAATGCACTAATATTACAATATGTACAGTTTCACATACTATTTACACAGTAACACACTGTATTACACACTCAGTACTTTGGAGGTGCGTAATAGTCAACGAAGTAGTCCATGGTACACAGCGCGACTTTGCTCTCCTTGCACCAGCTACAGATAGATTTTTGTTTCCTGTTTCATCGTTCTGTGTGCTTGCAAATAACGCACTCGCGTGCACCCTTGGCTTTAGTACTTGTAGGTGGTATGTAGCCAAGCTTGTAAAGCATAAAGTAGTATTGAAACGATTATAGGAAAAGCTCAATTTGTAAGATAGTCTTGAAAAGATCGCTTTGTAAGGTCCCACACAGGAAGAGATTCAGCTAGCCTCAAAGAGTGTCCATCAGTCAGGAAGAGATTCAGCTAGCCTCAAAGAGTGTCCATCAGTCAGGAAAAGATTCAGGTATTCTTAAAAATATCAATGAACACCACCACCATGGAAGCCGCTAACACTGTTCATCTATGCTACTTGTATCAGATGCATCATCACTGAACGCAGAAAACGATTCATCTATGTATCATCTATATACATTAGAGATGGCAAGGGTGGGGCTCAGAGCTACACCTGGATACGCTCGCTGTATCATCCTCATAGGTGCTGTATCACAGGCATCCGACCGTTGTGTTAAGCCCTTATTGCGCCTAGCTTCACCAATGTTATGACCCTTATGTTCTTCAAACAATAGGGTCTGAATTGCACTGACTGAGTACAGTCTTTCAACACCGTGTGGGACAGGTGTTTGAGAGCCAGAGGCATGTGTGCTACAAATGGTTGCTCACGCACTACTAACCCAGCCAGCAGCCCTTGTCGTTCATATTCGTTATAGCAAAAGGTTCGTTCAGTGTTTGTTGGGTAGGCTGCTCCATTATGACAATCTTTCTTTGTTTCAAATGTGTTCCATTTGTTTTGTATTTATCACTTACGTCTCAATAATGGAGCAGCCTACCCGACAAACACTGAACGAACCTTTATGACATTTGTCCATTTTTCAAATTGTTTCAACAGTTTTTATTTTTCGTTTTTTTTTTTTTTTAAGAAACATGGAGCAGTCGACCTGTAGACCACCGAACGAACAATTTTGACATTTGTACTGGTTTTCAAAATTCTTCATATTTTTTATTATTTACGTTTTTTGTATGTAAGAAACATGGAGCAGCCTACTTGCCGACCACCGAACGAACCTTTTGCTATAAGACAAATGAAAAATAAATATTGAACACATTTGAAGAAAGGAAAATGTCATAATGGTTTATTCAGTGTATGTAAGGTAGGCTTCTCCATTATTGAGACGTAAATGACAAATAAAAAACAAATGGAACACATTTGAAACAAAGAAAGATTGTTATAATGGAGCAGCCTACCTGCCGAACACCGAACGAACTTTTTTGACATTTGTTGTATATCAGATATTTCATTTCTTGTTTCCTACAAAAACGTCAATGCTTTGCAACATCTCAGCAGTCACCCTTTTATATCCCAGCATCATTAGCATCTTTAAACAAGAACAACATAATTTATGTGCATCGTCGGAGGCGTCTAAGAATGTGCAAGCAGCAGCGCGACCCCACCATGTGGTGTTGACGTTACTCAAACCAGCGTTCGTCATACGGGACGATTTGACGCCGATCGGGCCGTTCGTTACCCAAAATATTCGTCTTTTGGGGCAATCGTTATGCGAGGTACCACTGTATAAACATTAGAGGTTCATGGTTGTTCAACATCCTCCCAGCGAGCATAAGAAATATTGCCGGAACAACCGTGGACATCTTCAAGAGAAAACTAGATAGTTTTCTTCAAGGAGTGCCGGATCAACCGGGCTGTTGTGGATATGGGCCTGCGGACCACTCCAAGCAACAGCCTGGGTGGACCAAACTCTCACAAGTCAAGCCAGGCTTGGGGAGTAGAATAATTCCCAGAACCCCATCAAGCAGGTATCAAGCAGGGGGGGGTTTAATGGGTGCATGGAATAGACTTTGGCCTTTGTTTATGAGGACGGGCTGAGTCGAGAGCGATTCAATCATTCATTTACATTGTTTGGAGCATTTGGCAGTTTTGAGGCTTCAGTTCTTTTGGACCCAGCACTGGTCTATATTAGTTTGCTGACTTTCTGGATGCTTTTCTGGTGGGGTGGCAGAGTCCTGTTCTGTTCTCTGTGCCTCTGTGAGGGGACCAGATTCTTGCCCTGGTCCCCCAGTTGGTGGCTGATGTGACAAGAGTAGTTGGGCGCCATCTTGGCCAGACAGCTTCAGGGAGCCACCGGGGCTCATCTAGAAAGAGGCATTTCATTACATTCAATGGTGTTTTTTTTTTTGACTAGGGTATTTGCATTTGAAAAAGTGAGTTATTCATTGAATTGAGTGCCCCACCCCTCTGAAAATGGTGTGAGTGCCTAAGCATGTTAGAGCATTAGCATTTGATGTACTGCTGTAGAGGGTTACATTTTTGAACATTTTGAATTTGAACTGTTGGCCTTCGAGCCAAAATTTTTATCTTGATTACCTTGGTTTAAATTATGTTAATAACCTATAGTTTCTTCCTGATATGCTATAAGTGACATTTTGTCATTATTTCACAGCCTGGTGAGTGTTTGATCAGTAAGGTGTTGACGCTGGACTTGGACAGCTATCCAGTTCAACGTAACGAAGATCACAGCGGACCCTTTGCTACTCGAGTAAGTCTTAACATTACTAATGTGTTTGCTCATCCTACAGATGTCTTGATCCTACATACATGCCTTTGCCTCTATCCTTGTTTCCTGTCTTCCTCTTTACTAATATGAAATGGTTCTCATGCTGTTTAAGCCTTGTTTCTCAGTAGTGGTAATATCATCATCTAGCTGGTATAGAGTAGGTATATATGATTCTCGGGTTAATTTCCAAGGGGCTCATTCATGATATTTGAAAACCTTAACATCTGAAATCTCATCTGAGAATCTACAAGTGTCTTACACCTTCCACCAAATCTCTGTGTCTACATGTGTTGTGTCTCAAGTTTGCCGTCTCCCAAAGCAGGAGGACAGTTGTGCGGCACCTCCTTGTGCACCATTGATGTTCGAGCATTTCAGTGGGATCTTTACACAGTCGTTGTGCGGACATACTATCATATCCTCAGTCCCATATCTACAGTGATGTTTCAGTTAAACATGAGAATTTTAGAATTTTCTGTTCATATTCCTCTTCATGAATACAATACCTTGGGCCCTCAGCACATGGTGTTTAACTCCATGAAGTTCTCCCCTGCATTGTATTATAATGGCCATATAGAGCTGCATTGTGTTGTGTACACCGAGACATGTGTACTGTCAACTACCTGTGCACTCATCATAATCACCAACACCTGCCTTCAGAGCGAAATGACAGGCAGGATGACCAGGCACAAAACAGCCAGGTGGTCGGCGCAACCGTAAACCCCCAATCATCAACCAATCAGGTACAATTACCACCACACATTTTTGTTACACACCAACTTCATGAAATCTTAACACCAGCATTCAGAATGCATGCTTAAGTTTTGTATAAACATTTGTCTCTCTTTTGCTGAAATATGGCACTTGTGACCTGAGGCACTTGTGACTTGAAGCATTTGTGACCTGAAGCACCTGTGACCTGAAACACTTCTGACCTAAAGCACTTGTGACCTGAAGCACCTGTGACCTGAGGCACTTGTGACTTGAAGCACTTGTGACCTGAAGTACTTGTGACCTGAAGCACTTGTGACCTAAAGCACTTGTGACCTGAAGCACCTGTGACCTGAGGCACTTGTGACTTGAAGCACTTGTGACCTGAAGCACTTGTGACCTGAAGCACTTGTGACTTGAAGCACTTGTGACCTGAAGCACTTGTGGCCTGAAGCACTTGTGACCTGAAGCACTTGTGACTTGAAGCACTTGTGACCTGAAGCACTTGTGGCCTGAAGCACTTGTGACCTGAAGCACTTGTGACTTGAAGCACTGGTGACCTGAAGCACATGTGACCTAAAGCACCTGTGACCTGAAGCACTTGTGATCTGAAGTACTTGTGACCTGAAGCACTTGTGACCTAAAGCACTTGTGACCTAAAGCACTTGTGACCTGAAGCACTTGTGACCTAAAGCACTTGTGACCTGAAGCACTTATGACCTGAAGCACTTGTGACCTGAAGCACCTGTGACCTGAAGCACTTGTGACCTGAAGCACTTGTGACCTGAAGCACTTGTGACCTGAAGCACTTATGACATAAAGCACTTGTGACCTGAAGCACTTGTGACCTAAAGCATTTGTGGCCTGAAGCACCTGTGACCTGAAGCATTTGTGACCTGAAGCACTTATGACCTGAAGCACCGGTGACCTGAAGCACTTGTGACCTGAAGCACTTATAACCTGAAGCACCTGTGACCTGAAGCACCTGTGACCTGAAGCACCTGTGACCTGAAGCACTTGTGACCTGAAGCACTTATGACCTGAAGCACTTGTAACCTGAAGCACCTGTGACCTGAAGCACTTGTGACCTGAAGCACCTGTGACCTGAAGCACTTGTGACCTGAAGCACTTATAACCTGAAGCACCTGTGACCTGAAGCACCTGTGACCTGAAGCACTTTTGACCTGAAGCACCTGTGACCTGAAGCACCTGTGACCTGAAGCATTTGTGACCTGAAGCATTTGTGACCTGAAGCACTTATGACCTGAAGCACTTATGACCTGAAGCACTTGTGACCTGAAGTACTTGTGACCTGAAGCACCTGTGACCTGAAGCACTTAAGGCTATTAAGGTGGAAAAGGGCTATCATGGTTCCAATCTATAAAACTGGAAGCAGGGAAGACCCCCTTAATTATAGACCTGTATCATTGACAAGTGTAATAGTCAAAATATTGGGAAAAAAAAATTAAAACTAAATGGGTAGAACACCTGGAGAGAAATGATATAATATCAGACAGACAGTATGGTTTTTTGATCTGGAAGATCCTGTGTAACGAATTTACTCAGTTTCCATGATCGAGCAACAGAGATTTTACAGGAAAGAGATGGTTGGGTTGACTGCATCTATCTGGACCTAAAAAAGGCTTTTGACAGAGTTCCACATAAGAGGTTGTTCTGGAAACTGGAAAATATTGGAGGGGTGACAGGTAAGCTTCTAACATGGATGAAAAATTTTCTGACTGATAGAAAAATGAGGGCAGTGATCAGAGGCAATGTATTGGACTGGAGAAATGTCACACGTGGAGTACAACAGGGCACAGAGTACAACAGTTCTTGCACCGGTGATGTTTATTGTCTACATAAATGATCTACCAGTTGGTATACAGAATTATATGAACATGTTTGCTGATGATGCTAAGATAATAGGAAGGATAAGAAACTTAGATGATTGGCATGCCCTTCAAGATGACCTGGACAAAATAAGTATATGGAGCACCACTTAGCAAATGGAATTTAATGTTAATAAATGCCATGTTATGGAATGTGGAATAGGAGAACATAGACCTAGGGCCTCGTAGCCTGGTGTATAGCGTGCAGGACTCGTAATTCTGTGGCGCGGGTTCGATTCCCGCACGAGGCAGAAACAAATGGGCAAAGTTTCTTTCACCCTGAATGCCCCTGTTACCTAGCAGTAAATAGGTACCTGGGAGTTAGTCAGCTGTCACGGGCTGCTTCCTGGGGGCGGAGGCCTGGTCGAGGACCGGGCCGCGGGGACACTAAAAGCCCCGAAATCATCTCAAGATAACCTCAAGATAACCCCACACAACCTATATACTGTATTATGTGAGAAATCTTTAAAGAATTCTGATAAAGAAAGAGATCTAGGGGTGGTTCTAGATAGAAAACTATCATCTGAGGACCACATAAAGAATATTGTGCGAGGAGCCTATGCCACGCTTTCTAACTTCAGAATTGCTTTTAAATACATGGATGGCGATATACTAAAGAAATTGTTCACGACTTTTGTTAGGCAAAAGCTAGAATATGCAGTGGTTGTGTGGTGCCCATATCTTAAGAAGCATATCAACAAACTGGAAAAGGTGCAAATCATGCTACTAAGTGGCTCCCAGAACTGAAGGGCAAGAGCTACAAGGAGAGGTTAGAGGCATTAAATATGGCAAAACTAGAAGACAGAAAAAAAAGAGGTGATATGATCACTACGTACAAAATAGTAACAGGAATTGATAAAATCGATAGGGAAGATTTCCTGAAACCCGGAACTTCAAGAACAGGAGGTCATAGATTTAAACTAGCTAAACACAGATGCCGAAGAAATATAAGAAAATTCACTTTCACAGAGTGGTAGACGGTTGGAACAAGTTAGGTGAGGTGGTGGTGGAGGCCAAGACCGTCAGTAGTTTCAAAGCGTTATATGACAAAGAGTGCTGGGAAGACGGGACACCTTGAGCGTAGCACTCATCCTCTAACTACACTTAGTAAATTACATTAAGGTAATTACTGAAGCACTTGTGACCTGAAGCACTTGTGACCTGAAGCACTTGTGACTTAAAGCACCTGTGACCTGAAGCACCTGTGACCTGAAGCACCTGTGACCTGAAGCACTTGTGACCTAAAGCACTTGTGACCTAAAGCACTTGTGACCTGAAGAATTTGTGACCTGAAGCACTTGTGACCTGAAGCACTTGTGACCTGAAGAACTTGTGACCTGAAGCACTTGTGACCCGAAGCACCTGTGACCTGAAGCACCTGTGACCTGAAGCACTTGTGACCTGAAGCACCTGTGACCTGAAGCATTTGTGACTTGAAGCACCTGTGACCTGAAGAACTTGTGACCTGAAGCACTTGTGACCTGAAGCACTTGTGACCTGAAGCTCCTGTGACCTGAAGCACCTGTGACCTGAAGCACTTGTTTCCTGAAGCACTTGTGACCTGAAGCTCCTGTGACCTGAAGCACGTGTGACTTGAAGCACTTATGACCTGAAGCACTTGTGACCTGAAGCACCTGTGACCTGAAGCACTTGTGACCTGAAGCACCTGTGACCTGAAGCACATGTGACCTGAAGCACTTGTGACCTGAAGCACTTATGACCTGAAGCACTTAAGACCTGAAGCACCTGTGACCTGAAGCACTTGTGACCTGAAGCACTTGTGACCTAAAGCACCTGTGACCTGAAGCACCTGTGACCTGAAGCACTTATGACATGAAGCACTTATGACCTGAAGCACCTGTGACCTGAAGCACTTGTGACCTGAAGCACTTGTGACCTAAAGCACCTGTGACCTGAAGCACCTGTGACCTGAAGCACTTATGACCTGAAGCACTTATGACCTGAAGCACCTGTGACCTGAAGCACTTATGACCTGAAGCACTTATGACCTGAAGCACTTATGACCTGAAGCACCTGTGACCTGAAGCACTTGTGACCTGAAACACTTGTGACCTGAAGCACCTGTGACCTGAAGCACTTGTGACCTGAAGCACTTGTGACCTGAAGCACCTGTGACCTGAAGCACTTGTGACCTGAAGCACCTGTGACCTGAAGCACTTGTGACCTGAAGCACCTGTGACCTGAAGCACTTGTGACCTGAAGCACCTGTGACCTGAAGCACTTGTGACCTGAAGCACATGTGACCTGAAGCACTTGTGACCTGAAGCACCTGTGACCTGAAGCACTTGTGACCTGAAGCACATGTGACCTGAAGCACTTATGACCTGAAACACCTGTGACCTGCAGCACTTGTGACCTGCAGCACTTGTGACCTGAAGCACTTGTGACCTGAAGCACCTGTGACCTGAAGCACCTGTGACCTGAAGCACTTGTGACCTGAAGCACTTGTGACCTGAAGCACCTGTGACCTGAAGCACTTGTGACCTGAAGCACCTGTGACCTGAAGCACTTGTGACCTGAAGCACTTGTGACCTGAAGCACTTGTGACCTGAAGCACCTGTGACCTGAAGCACTTGCGACCTGAAACACTTGTGACCTGAAGCATTTGTGACCTGAAGCACTTGTGACCTGAAGCACCTGTGACCTGAAGCACCTGTGACCTGAACCACTTGTGACCTGAAGCACCTGTGACCTGATCCACTTGTGACCTGAACCACTTGTGACCTGAAGCACTTGTGACCTGAAGCACCTGTGACCTGAAGCACTTGTGACCTGAAGCACTTGTGACCTGAAGCACCTGTGACTTGAAGCACCTGTGACCTGAAGCACCTGTGACCTGAAGCACCTGTGACCTGAAGCACTTGTGACCTGAAGCACTTGTGACCTGAAGCACTTGTGACCTGAAGCACCTGTGACCTGAAGCACCTGTGACCTGAAGCACCTGTGACCTGAAGCACCTGTGACCTGAAGCACTTGTGACCTGAAGCACTTGTGACCTGAAGCACTTGTGACCTGAAGCACCTGTGACCTGAAGCACCTGTGACCTGAAACACTTGTGACATGAAGCACTTGTGACCTGAAGCACCTGTGACCTGAAGCACCTGTGACCTGAAGCACCTGTGACCTGAACCACTTGTGACCTGAACCACTTGTGACCTGAACCACTTGTGACCTGAACCACTTGTGACCTAAACCACTTGTGACCTGAACCACTTGTGACTTAAAGCACTTGTGACCTGAACCACTTGTGACCTGAACCACTTGTGACCTAAAGCACTTGTGACCTGAACCACTTGTGACCTGAACCACTTGTGACCTGAACCACTTGTGACCTAAACCACTTGTGACCTGAACCACTTGTGACCTGAACCACTTGTGACCTGAACCACTTGTGGCCTGAAGCACCTGTGACCTGAACCACTTGTGACCTGAAGCACTTGTGACCTGAAGCACTTGTGACCTGAAGCACTTGTGACCTGAAGCACTTGTGACCTGAAGCACTTGTGACCTGAAGCACCTGTGACCTGAAGCACCTGTGACCTGAAGTACTTGTGACCTGAAGCACCTGTGACCTGAAGCACCTGTGACCTGAAGCACCTGTGACCTGAAGCACCTGTGACATGAAGCACCTGTGACCTGAAGCACCTGTGACCTGAACCACTTGTCACCTGAACCACTTGTCACCTGAACCACTTGTCACCTGAACCACTTGTGACCTGAACCACTTGTGACCTGAACCACTTGTGACCTAAACCACTTGTGACCTGAACCACTTGTGACTTAAAGCACTTGTGACCTGAACCACTTGTGACCTAAAGCACTTGTGACCTGAACCACTTGTGACCTAAACCACTTGTGACCTGAACCACTTGTGACCTGAACCACTTGTGACCTGAACCACTTGTGACCTGAACCACTTGTGGCCTGAAGCACCTGTGACCTGAAGCACTTGTGACCTGAAGCATGTGTGACCTGAAGCACTTGTGACCTGAAGCATTTGTGACCTGAAGCACTTGTGACCTGAAGCACCTGTGACCTGAAGCACCTGTGACCTGAAGCACCTGTGACCTGAAGCACCTGTGACCTGAAGCACTTGTGACCTGAAGCACCTGTGACCTAAAGCACCTGTGACTTGAAGCACCTGTGACCTGAAGCACTTGTGACCTAAAACTCTTGTGACCTGAAGCACTTGTGGCCTAAAACACTTGTGACCTGAAGCACTTGTGACCTAAAACACTTGTGACCTGAAGCACTTGTGACCTAAAGCACTTGTGACCTGAAGCACTTGTGACCTGAAGCACTTGTGACCTAAAGCACTTGTGACCTGAAGCATTTGTGACCTAAAGCACTTGTGACCTGAAGCACTTGTGACCTAAAGCACTTACAATCTTAAATCACTGCTTGCAAACCTGCCCAGAATGTATTTGTGTGCTGATTTATCTCCAGTATTACTGGAGTTAAAGATTTTTGTCTGAGCTGGTGGACACAGAATGAATACATAAATGCTGCTCTCAATAGCGTGAATGGCAGAGCCAAGTATAAGGAAAACTAGTGGACTTATGTGGACAGAAGTGTTTGTGAGTGTGTGTGTATTGAACCCATCCTCCTGTTGTGATAGTTCCTATTGTCATGAACGTCAGGAGTCAGAATCCGTACATTCATAGCTTTAAGATACTGACTAGTATGGAATTCTTTTAAATTAAATGAAGTTAAAAGACTTAAGTATTCCTTGGCCTAGTATAGCACACAAATGTACTGTATTAGGCCTCAGATATAATATATTAGGGCTAGTAAGGTTAGTTTAGTTTGTCAAAGTAACTCCAGTAAAAAAATTTTTTCCGGTTTGTCATACTCAATACCTGTAGTTTAGATTTCTATGTCCTAATTTCTTTGTATTTCGGTATATATACTATGGTCCTCGTCGTTACTATAAGTACTACCAAAACAGAAAGATGGGCTGTTGTATACATACACAGATGTGTTTTGTCTTGTATGTTAATTTTCAAGTGATGTCTGCAAATGTTTCGTATGTTTCTTTAAGAGTAATATTTAATTGATATCATTGAAGGTTTCTGTAAGCCTGCAAGAAAAATTTGACATTGGGAACTCTCTCAAGGAAGAGGGAGACCCTGTGCAAGAACACTGTGAGGGAAGGGGAAGATCCTAGACAGGAACACTGTGAGGGAAGGGGAAGATCCTAGACAGGAACACTGTGAGGGAAGGGGAAGATCCTAGACAGGAACACTGTGAGGGAAGGGGAAGTTCTTAGGCAGGAACACTGCGAGGGAAGGGAAGTTCTTAGGCAGGAACACTGCGAGGGAAGGGGAAGTTCTTAGGCAGGAACACTGCGAGGGAAGGGGAAGTTCTTAGGCAGGAACACTGCGAGGGAAGGGGAAGTTCTTAGGCAGGAACACTGTGAGGGAAGGGGAAGTTCTTAGGCAGGAACACTGTGAAGGAAGGGGGAGATCCTAGGCAGGAACACTGTGAGGGAAGGGGGAGATCCTAGGCAGGAACACTGAGGGAAGGGGTAGACCCTAGGCAGGAACACTGTGAGGGAAGGGGGGAGATCCTAGGCAGGAACACTGAGGGAAGGGGGAGATCCTAGGCAGGAACACTGTGAGGGAAGGGGGAGATCCTAGGCAGGAACACTGTGAGGGAAGGGGGAGATCCTAGGCAGGACACACTGCGAGGGAAGGGGGAGATCCTAGGCAGGAACACTGTGAGGGAAGGGGGAGATCCTAGGCAGGAACACTGTGAGGGAAGGGGGAGATCCTAGGCAGGAACACTGTGAGGGAAGGGGGAGATCCTAGGCAGGAACACTGTGAGGGAAGGGGGAGATCCTAGGCAGGAACACTGTGAGGGAAGGGGGAGATCCTAGGCAGGAACACTGTGAGGGAAGGGGAGATCCTAGGCAGGAACACTGTGAGGGAAGGGGTAGATCCTAGGCAGGAACACTGTGAGGGAAGGGGAGATCCTAGGCAGGAACACTGTGAGGGAAGGGGGAGATCCTAGGCAGGAACACTGTGAGGGAAGGGGAGATCCTAGGCAGGAACACTGTGAGGGAAGGGGGAGATCCTAGGCAGGAACACTGTGAGGGAAGGGGAGATCCTAGGCAGGAACACTGTGAGGGAAGGGGGAGATCCTAGGCAGGAACACTGTGAGGGAAGGGGTAGATCCTAGGCAGGAACACTGAAAGGGAAAGGGAAGATTGTAGGAGGAGTTAGGCATTAGATGTGTGGTAGAAAGTATATCCTAAGGATTATTTCAAGGAATGATTAATATTGTGTAGATTTTCTTCCATAATTTAAATGTTGGTTTTGTTTTGTTGCCCGCAGCTATGAGGTCTACTTGAACCTATTGGGAATGGCTATCCATCACAAGTCTTCTGCTGCTCTTAGACATCAACAGACTGTCTGCACACTAAAGTTGTTTTGTCCAGCTGTTAGAGGTCGACCCACGTACAAGTTGCTGGCAATTATCTACAGTTTTGTCCAGCTGTTAGAGGCCAACCCACGTACAAGTTGCTGGCTACTATCTACAGTTCACAACTTTGTTTCTGCTGGTCACTGATCACTTATATATATATGTATATATAATCAATGTCATACCTAATAGGCAGAACTGCACTATTTGCCCTGGTATGTAAGGTCCAATTTACCTAACAGACAGAGAGATTTTAGTTATTTTGAAATATTTCTTTTCAAATTGGTTTATTCCAATTATTATTATTATACAATATATTAAGAACGTGAATTAGTGACTTAGTAATGTTAGGTTAGGTTAGGTAGGTTAGTTTAGGTTTGATCAAGATTCTTTGTTAATATTAACTCGCGGTAAATTTTGTTAATTATATATAGTATAATGGAAAGCTTTATCATTACATAATAATATATATAATTTCAGGAAAACTCAATTTGTTAGCCAACTTGGCCTATTAGGCACAAGTTGTGCCTAATATATATATATATATATATATATATATATATATATATATATATATATATATATATATATATATATATATATATATATATATATATGCCTATACTTGCATAAACCACAAGTGAAGATAAACAATCTTTGGACAACACCCACCAGTGGGACTCGAACCCAGAAAGCACAACTACCTTCCAGTAGCTGGCATAACTAGTATGCTTTAACCCACTACGCCATCAGACCTTACAAAAGAAGTAGATAGTTCGAGATATATATATCTCAAACATCTCTACCTCCCGAAGGCACCAGATGAGTGAGGGGTCAGTCTGCAATTTTCGTCAAGCCACTGTCAATGTGAGAGAACTCGTGTCCAGCTTATAAGCCTATACTTGCATAAACCACAAGTGAAGCATACTCAATACCTGTAGTTTAGATTTCTATGTCCTAATTTCTTTGTATTTCGGTATATATACTATGGTCCTCGTCGTTACTATAAGTACTACCAAAACAGAAAGATGGGCTGTTGTATACATACACAGATGTGTTTTGTCTTGTATGTTAATTTTCAAGTGATGTCTGCAAATGTTTCGTATGTTTCTTTAAGAGTAATATTTAATTGATATCATTGAAGGTTTCTGTAAGCCTGCAAGAAAAATTTGACATTGGGAACTCTCTCAAGGAAGAGGGAGACCCTGTGCAAGAACACTGTGAGGGAAGGGGAAGATCCTAGACAGGAACACTGTGAGGGAAGGGGAAGATCCTAGACAGGAACACTGTGAGGGAAGGGGAAGATCCTAGACAGGAACACTGTGAGGGAAGGGGAAGTTCTTAGGCAGGAACACTGCGAGGGAAGGGAAGTTCTTAGGCAGGAACACTGCGAGGGAAGGGGAAGTTCTTAGGCAGGAACACTGCGAGGGAAGGGGAAGTTCTTAGGCAGGAACACTGCGAGGGAAGGGGAAGTTCTTAGGCAGGAACACTGTGAGGGAAGGGGAAGTTCTTAGGCAGGAACACTGTGAAGGAAGGGGGAGATCCTAGGCAGGAACACTGTGAGGGAAGGGGGAGATCCTAGGCAGGAACACTGAGGGAAGGGGTAGACCCTAGGCAGGAACACTGTGAGGGAAGGGGGGAGATCCTAGGCAGGAACACTGAGGGAAGGGGGAGATCCTAGGCAGGAACACTGTGAGGGAAGGGGGAGATCCTAGGCAGGAACACTGTGAGGGAAGGGGGAGATCCTAGGCAGGAACACTGCGAGGGAAGGGGGAGATCCTAGGCAGGAACACTGTGAGGGAAGGGGGAGATCCTAGGCAGGAACACTGTGAGGGAAGGGGGAGATCCTAGGCAGGAACACTGTGAGGGAAGGGGGAGATCCTAGGCAGGAACACTGTGAGGGAAGGGGGAGATCCTAGGCAGGAACACTGTGAGGGAAGGGGGAGATCCTAGGCAGGAACACTGTGAGGGAAGGGGAGATCCTAGGCAGGAACACTGTGAGGGAAGGGGTAGATCCTAGGCAGGAACACTGTGAGGGAAGGGGAGATCCTAGGCAGGAACACTGTGAGGGAAGGGGGAGATCCTAGGCAGGAACACTGTGAGGGAAGGGGAGATCCTAGGCAGGAACACTGTGAGGGAAGGGGGAGATCCTAGGCAGGAACACTGTGAGGGAAGGGGAGATCCTAGGCAGGAACACTGTGAGGGAAGGGGGAGATCCTAGGCAGGAACACTGTGAGGGAAGGGGTAGATCCTAGGCAGGAACACTGAAAGGGAAAGGGAAGATTGTAGGAGGAGTTAGGCATTAGATGTGTGGTAGAAAGTATATCCTAAGGATTATTTCAAGGAATGATTAATATTGTGTAGATTTTCTTCCATAATTTAAATGTTGGTTTTGTTTTGTTGCCCGCAGCTATGAGGTCTACTTGAACCTATTGGGAATGGCTATCCATCACAAGTCTTCTGCTGCTCTTAGACATCAACAGACTGTCTGCACACTAAAGTTGTTTTGTCCAGCTGTTAGAGGTCGACCCACGTACAAGTTGCTGGCAATTATCTACAGTTTTGTCCAGCTGTTAGAGGCCAACCCACGTACAAGTTGCTGGCTACTATCTACAGTTCACAACTTTGTTTCTGCTGGTCACTGATCACTTATATATATATGTATATATAATCAATGTCATACCTAATAGGCAGAACTGCACTATTTGCCCTGGTATGTAAGGTCCAATTTACCTAACAGACAGAGAGATTTTAGTTATTTTGAAATATTTCTTTTCAAATTGGTTTATTCCAATTATTATTATTATACAATATATTAAGAACGTGAATTAGTGACTTAGTAATGTTAGGTTAGGTTAGGTAGGTTAGTTTAGGTTTGATCAAGATTCTTTGTTAATATTAACTCGCGGTAAATTTTGTTAATTATATATAGTATAATGGAAAGCTTTATCATTACATAATAATATATATAATTTCAGGAAAACTCAATTTGTTAGCCAACTTGGCCTATTAGGCACAAGTTGTGCCTAATATATATATATATATATATATATATATATATATATATATATATATATATATATATATATATATATATATATATATATATATATATATATAATATATATATAATTATATATATATAATTATATATATATATATATATATATTATATATATATATATATATATATATATATATATATATATATATATATATATATATATATATATATATATATATATATATAATATATATATGTATGTATGTATGTATGCAACAATGATATAAAAAAATGTCAATTTAATTATGGAAAATAACCACAGTGAAAAGTAACAAACAGGTAAATGGGGTAAAGAGCTTAGAACTTTCAACTCATTTGAGCCTTCAGTTCTGAAGAATGCTCGAGTATGAATATGTATACAGTACAGTGAAACCTCAGGCTACTACTTTAGTTTGTTCCAAGAGATGAATCGTAAACCAAATATTCATATTTGAATTGAATTTTTCCATAAGAAATAATGTAAATTAAATTAATCCGTTCCACACCTAAAAATATTAACTTAAAAATACATTTGATACAGACTACTACCCATATTTTTACTATACCTTACCTTTATTGAGGACTCTTGTTGGCATATGGTGAGGAGCATGGAGGAGGATGGAAAGGTGTTAGTGTTTGGAAGGGAAGTCTATTGTTGTTGGTTTCGGTGCGATGACGAACGAGGGATCGAATGTATCCCGGCTGCCTGATACAGGGAAATAGCAAAGAAGGATGGGATTTCTACAGTTTCTTCAGGCCACAGACCCTACAATCTCTTCAGGCCACGGACATGACGAATGAAGCGGAAGGTATGGCGAAGGATGTCATAACGGATGTCTTCGTCTCTTGCACCTGCCCCATCAAGGAGAACGGGAACCATGAGGCAGGGAATATTCAGTCTACGAACGTCACTCTGTAGTGAGTGATGGTCGTGTTGAGGAGTTGAGAATGTTGACAAGTCCATAGACCCGGTGAGAAGCCATCCCAGAGGCCCGCCAGAGAAGAGGACCCAAGTGCTGGCGCCATCACTCTCTCCCAACTTGCGAGGCAAGCCGAGTTGCGGGAGAGCTTTGGTAAGGTCCAAAGGCACCTGTGTAAATTACTGGAGACCATGCACGATCCCTGATGCTGCGTTGGCCACCTCGTTGCCATTAATACCAACATGTGATAGAACCCGTCGGAGAAAGATCGACCAACCCGGAGTACCAGAGTACGACAGCAGTTCGCCACGGATCTGTGACACAGTATGATGGTGGACTCGCAGATGCCAAGATGGTATCAGATGCAGGGCTGTAGCAGAGTCCAAGTTGAAAACCACTGCCGAAAGCCCTGAAACTTGAAGGAGTTGTAAGGCCAGTAAGATTGCAAACAGTTCCTCGGTCAGGCACGAATGAGCAGGGAAGAGCTTCCACGTCTGACAAAAGGAGAGAGGAGCAAAGTATGCAGCCACACAGGCGGATGGTGGCTGATCAATGTGGGACCCATTCATGTAAGCCTTTATCCAGAGTATAAGGAAGCTCACAGGTCTGCAAAAAATTGAAAGGGCCAGATACTCTAAATCCCTCTTCCGACGAAGAGGCTTAGAAAAGTCCACAGACACCAGGATGAGCTCTTCTGTCCACAGAGGTACTGGAGAGATGATTGGGCCAGAGGTGGGTACAGGGACAAGAAGGGAAAACTGTGAGTATACATCCATGGCCCGGATGACGAAAGGCAGCTGACTGCACCTGGAGTGTCCATCTGGCACATTCCACCAGTTACCCTCGAGATGCAGGCGAGTAAGTGGATGGGTAGCAGGGAGATGCACTATCTGTTGAAACCAACATCAAAGGGCAAGAAGACGTTCAAAGTGCAGGGACCATACCCCCGACTCAGCATGGAGAGAAAGAGAGAGAGAGAACTGGCGAGGAGTGCCCTAACGTTGAGCGAAGGGCACCATTTTGGATGAGATCCAACCTTGTCAAGACCGATGATGCTGCTAAGCCATAGACTTCACTCGCATACATGATCTATAGAGGGCTAGGAGCGACCCCTGTGAAGCCCCCCCCCCATGCTGCCCCAGAGAGCCGTTTCACGATGTTCACACGACGTAGGCACAAGGCCCGAAGGTAATCCACGTCTCTACGTCAGCCGAGGGCCATCGAGAACCATCCCTAGCCTCCTGTGTTCCATGGCGACTGGAAGACTATGCCCCAACAGTCACCACTGGCTGGTCTGGCAAAAAGAGTCCAGGAAAGACTCATGGTACAACTTTATACCAGGTTAATGGAGAGTCCTTCCCCAGCACTGTTGCACAGTCACGGCATCTTGCAGGGAGCCTTGTGCCTCCAGGAGAGTGGCACCATCCGCCACGAGGGTTACTTCATTGACATGGCTAAAACCGGGGCACTCCGGAAATTCCGGGAGATCAGACAGAAGACTAGAGAATAGGAGCGGGCTGAGAATCGCACTCTGGGGGGACACTACTTGA